AATATATTTAGTCGCATCACTTTAGGTATTCAGAATATTTTTTAAAAAATGTAATGCTTTCGGAATTGTGTATTTTACTCGTGACAAGGCATCTTTGACCCCGCATGGGCCGCCTATATCAGTTGTGAAGCGATTTGTTCCGATTTAAAAGGTATGATAGCCATTTTCATCGAGACTTCGGCCGTCGTCCGTATTTAGTGGATGTTAGTATTACTGGTATTGTTGTAATATTAATAAACTCCAGTAACAACGGAGTACCTCCAAGCGGGCCCATTGGTTTATGGGCAGACGATTCATCGATAGCGTAAAAGTTAACTCAAAGTATGCAGTTTGAACAGCGCCCCTTACGGCAAACGTAGACAAACGTTGCAACTCCATACTTGACTTGTAGGTGAGCTCACGGGGCTCTAACCGGGAGTGTTACTAACATTGGCCCTAGCAAGAGTAGTGCTTCGGAGAATCTACCACCGGATCGGAAACGCGACCCACTGAGAAGATCCGGTGAGAAACTCAGTAGGCTGTGTCTATGGGTTAATTCGCTCGTCGAGCCCTTCGTCGCAAGCGACGGGTTCGACGAGGACGCTGACGGGTGCTTGTGGTACCTAAAAGCACCGTTATTGGATCGGACACTAAGCACACCGAACCCATGTCGCCACCCTTGTGACAGGCGGTGAAATCTCAGTGTTATTGTGTGACGACTGTCCCACCCTTCAAATTGTAGTATAAAGTTAATAAAAGAGTTCACTAAATATTTCATTACCCACGGAGAAACAACTTCATTTTCTATAGTACAGCTGTAGAAACAGGAGCAAAAAAGTCGGTCTTTTTTATTGCCAGTGTCGGCAGAGGTATATCCGGCCTATATGATGGCGAGTGATCCCTGTCGCTCATGGACGTTAGCACAGATCATAGATACACAGGAGATATGGCAAGGAGGCGTGGTGCTTGCGAACGCATCTGGCCTCAAAGCGGCTTGATGCCAGTTTCGGTCATTAGTCCAATGTCAACTTGCGACGTCTTCACTGCTTATTTTTAAACAAATGCCGCGCTGTTCAGTGATTGTTTGTTCAGTATTTTTTTAACAAAATGCCGCGTTGTTCAGTGATTGAGTGTTTCTATGATCTGTGGACGTTAGCATGGCTAGCTGCACAGTCAAGCCAAGCCAATCTATTTAGATCAATAATTTGAAGTAATCTTACCTGAAACATGCTCGAGAATATGCGCAAATATTATTCTAGAATGAATCACAAGATTTTTTCATACTTAACAGACTTGCGTGATGCGTAGTAACCGCAAAGAAATTGCTATAACTGCTCAAAACAGCCTCTGCCAAAAAAAGCCTAATTAAGAATAATGAATATAAAATAGCATCCTTGTGTAGCAATAGTGTCCCTTGATTGTGCCTTTTAATAATTTAATACGCTTTATTATTTGAAAGGTCCTGCACCTGTGCCTTTGCCCAAAAAAAGTCCTGTAGTGCGATCACGTTCCGTCGTCCTGCAATGGAACTGAAAAAATTTAAAATTGATTCCAGCTCTAATTATATCATTAGTTAATTGATTTAATATGTGTGAACCAATTAATTTTGATTATCCACTAAGCAAAAAAGGTAGAACTAAAAAAAAGGAGAAACTCAATTCAAGTTTATAGAAACACAATGTTGTTTTGTGAACGTAATAGTAGATTCGCTTTCAATAGCGTTGTTATAAGATATGATTGCTGCAAATTGCTCAGTTTCTCTTTTCGATAAGTCGAAGACTTCAACTATGACCTTTAAGAATTTTGTATAAAAAGAAAGAAATAATTTGATTTATTTTTGTCGTTTTCTACTGTAGATAAGCTCTAACATAAAAGGCTTCTTTTCTATTGCTTTTTTGGCTGAACATAATCATGGCCCGTCTGGTATTAAGTGGTTAGCGGAACCGATAGATATCACAAAGTTGGTACAATATCCGTTATATTTTAGAGAATCTCATTTTGTATTGTATTGTTTTTGTATAATTTCATGAATGGTCTTATTTTCTTAAGGTCTTATTTTTTTCTTCGTCTAATTTCTTGAAGAGTTCCTTGATAACTACCATTGATAATTTTTTCACAATGTGCGTTACAATTTTGTTTAATTCTTGAAATTCAAAAGGGACAACATGTAAACAAATCAAAAACAATGAAGTATAAAACTTAATGTATAATCATGATATTTACAGACTTATTTTATTTATTTATTTATAAAACAAGTAATTTTATGGCTATCAATTTATACTTATTACAACATGTCATTAATAATTTACATAATGTTAAAATAAAAGCAACAGTATACACGATTACTGAAGATAGCAATAAAATTGTAAAAAACCGCCATAGCACGAACAGATACGATATCGATGGAAAAAGAGATTCCATGTTTTATGTCATAAGTAATTAAAAAATATTTACAAACTTTAAAAATAATGTTTATCGATATAATCAGAAATATTGTAGATAGTTTTACGCGTTTAACGATACACGCCATATTCGTAAAGATGTATAATAATAATTATTATTATTTTGTTTTCCTACGATTTTAAACATTCTCCAAGTTTATCTCTATTATTTATAAAATTATGTTAGTCTAATTAGGATACATAAATATTGTAAATCTATTAATGAAATTACTACATTGGCTACATATTGTCTTTATGCTAGGTTAAATATCAAAATTTAATAGTAAATAAAATAGCGCAGATATTCGTGACAGCTCACAGCGCCGTACTTTAAGAGAACAATGTGTGTGTGTTTAAAAATGAACATATTACATATTTCGAAAATTTCTAAATATTGTAGGTATATAGATGCAAGAAAAACAATTCAAAAGGTGATGTTTACGTTGACCGTTAACGGCGGAAACATGTTTACTTCTACTATACTCAATCATAGATCATATTATAATATAATGCAGGAAGTAGGTAGGTATATTTATAATAAGATATTTGAGTTATAGATCTTTGGAAAATAATTATCTCATATTTACAGTAATAGTGACGGTTGCTTTCAACTGATCTTTTTTGTGGTTATTTGTCCTTGAACATAAAAGCTTCATCGATTCCCAACGGTAAACGAGCCCGTGTGATAGTCACGATTACTATAAATAGTACTTTATGACTAAAATATCTAGAATGTTTCCCATGTATTAATTAGCTGATTCACAAACTATACAGAGCGTAGGAAAGCCATTCCCGAAAACGAAGACAGGTGCTGGTGGCAGACGACACAATAACATTAAAATGATCACGACTGAACTACACGCAATGTAATGCAAATATTAGTTAGAGCGCGGTGTCCATTGCGTCATGTGATGCGCGGCGGTGAGCCTAGTCTGCCAGCTGCCTTCGCTTTACGGTTTACGATATTTAATCTGTACATTGTTTATGGTTTGTGTTGAAAATTTTTCATGTAAAAAGTTTTCATGAAAATTAAAATAAGACTTGACCTAAAGGTCTTAGTTACCAGGTCCTAAATTCCTTTAAAAAAAAAGGTGTTGAAATTGAGAATTCCGTCACACCTTGTATATTCGTTTGGTTATTTGAGTATGTGTGAAAGTGTATTTAATCACATACATCCTTTTTTTATTTATTGAAACAGATCGTAAACATGGCGCTTCCTATCACTAAAGACTTATTCAGCCTTGCTTGAAAAAGAAAGACTAGTTCGTCTTAGTGCCAAATGGTACGTGGTGTAGAGGTTGTAGGTATTGGGGATAAGCTCTGAATCAAATGGTGCGATGGCAAAAATAATATTATATCAGACAATTCTTCACAGCACTCCCCATAAAACATACGGCACAAGACACAAAGAGAACCAAATTATGTCCGTGGGTAAATCTAAAAAAACAGTACAGTTGAGTTGCAATGAAATTTTCAACGTAACATCATTTTGAATACAATAATAACGACATCGTAACTCTCTGCTAATATTATTTCACAAAGATGTTAATGTTAATACAGAACTTTTATAAATATAGAGATAACTACATATATCGATAAACATCTAAGTATTTTTTTCCTTATTTTTAATTGCAAATCTAACAAAATTTATTAGAAAAATAAGTCGTCATTTTGGCTTCCACTTTATTCTATAATGGAATGGTCTCAAGAGTAACCACAGCATACAAACGTTTTATATAGCTCGCTACCATAATAACATCGTATTACTTTTAATTAGTATTACAAAATTGCACATTTACGCCGCTCAACCATCAGTGTGAAAACATTAACATAATAACATTTTGTTACTTTACATATTGCATTGCTTTCAAATACATTCCATTGTAAATTGACTCGAATTCTTGATAACAATTAAATCCAAATTTGTATAAAATCATTTTGCGAATACAAAACATGAAGAACTAACTACAGATCAACAAATTTGGCATAATTCAATAATTCAGGTCGAACATTTAGAATAGTACCTGTGTTTTTTTTTTAAAGTACAATATAATGACATTGCTTTTATGCGATCAAATTTTCATAGAATATTCATGTGTTTAATTACGAAAAACATTACAAAAATGGCACCACTACTGAACAATATGTCGCGTTTATAAAAAAAAATACATAACATAATATAACCAATACCTAACTACGTATTACTCTATAAGAAAGTCATCTATACAGTAATATAAAACGTCGTAACTCTAACGTCGAAAGAGTCGACAAAGGATCACGCAGCAGTATTATTGCTCATTTTAGTATCGAATCACTTTCGTTACACCACAACAAAGACGGAAAACGAATCACGTGAACCGATCACGTAAGCGAACACCGCGTAATCTCACAAGGCGCTTCGACGTTAATTCACAAGAATAACAACTACATCTTTATAAGAGCTTATTATTCGATCAATATCGATACTTCGTTAAGTTTCAAGAGGTTTACCCTAATCCCTACTCTAGTGCGACATGACGTCTAACAATTTGCTCCCGCCGAGTTTGCTCGTGTCGTACAGATTACGCAATAGANCGTAAGCGATCACCGCGTAATCTCACAAGGCGCTTCGACGTTAATTCACAAGAATAACAACTACATCTTTATAAGAGCTTATTATTCGATCAATATCGATACTTCGTTAAGTTTCAAGAGGTTTACCCTAATCCCTACTCTAGTGCGACATGACGTCTAACAATTTGCTCCCGCCGAGTTTGCTCGTGTCGTACAGATTACGCAATAGACAACTAACTAAACGTCTCTTAAAAATTGAGCTCAACACTAGTGTTATCTGTGACACGGCACGACCGTGCGGAGGCGCCCTTAGCAAACACCGACTCTGTCCCTGTACTTGGCAATCTGTATGGATCAGACGCTTGCTACAAAATTAATTTCTCGTAATATGATTGCTTTATTTAGCTAGTCAACTGAATGGAAAATATATGGTATTTTTTTAAAATTCAAATTTGACTGTACGCGTGTTTAATTTATTATCTGAATACTCTGGTCAACGGAAGATTTTGAAAACAGAAATTCACTAAATATAATTAATTGAGCGTTTGATTCATCGATCAAAACAGCAATAGTATACAAAAATTATTTTATTATTAAAATTCGAATATATATTTAGGTAGCTACGCATTATTTATTTTTTAAATATGGTAATTTTAATAAACCAAATTATGTTAAAAATGTTTCAAGTCGCCTATTATTATAATTTAAAAAAAAGTAATTCTAAGAATTATAATAACAATCTTCAATGAAATCACAAAACGGAACTTCTCGTTCAAGTATGAGTAAGTTACCCATCAACCGCTGTCAAGGCAGAGGTTAGCAAAGTACACCTACTCTAAATTCTGGGATACATTATTAGAAACGATTTTTGAAAATCTTGTGACAGTTAAATACGGGTTTAAGAAACGCATTTAATAAATAAAAGTTAACCAATCTAGCTTAATGACTACGAAGCTAAAAGCGCTATGAATATTAGAAAAAATCACAAATTCTCATAAAGTTACATGGTGGACGAGTGTCTTGCAACTGACATGGTTACGCGCAAACCTCACGATTCGTAACGAACGAGCACAATCTCCACCACGTAATCAGTATCACTAACCTTCCGCGAAGGTCAATACGAAGAATGTATAGGTACGTCCGGGGACTGTCGGCACGAAATGAACCTCCGGACTCGACGACTGCCTTACGATAACTAGACCAACAACAGGACCGCACTGGCGCAGTAGCAGCCGCGGCTCCGCGACGACGGCGCCGCGCGGCTTTAGAACATTCAACCCTTTACCGACTCGACGCGGTGAGCTATCGGAGTGGTCAACGTGAACAAGCGGAGGCGCGCGCACCCGTCCCGCTCGCGGGCTCAGCCGCCGCGCCGCGCCGCACCACCCGCGCCGCCCGCTGCGAGCCTCGGCCGTCATGGTCTGTGGAATCTGCAAGAAAAACATACACGTTATGTTTAAAAAAAAACTTGCTTTACTGGTCTGCAATTGAAAAATATAGTTTAAGCAAATATTCAAGCACATTAGTTTTTATTTAAAATGAAGTCATTTTGCTGTGTCTGTTTACTTATTGATACCTAGATAATACCATACAAGTCCAAAAGACTATTGTAATACTATTAATTACTGGTGGTAGGACCCCTTGTGAGTCCGCACGGGTAGGTACCACCGCCCCGTCTATTTCTGCCGTAAAGCAGTAATGCGTTTCGGTATGAATGGTGGGGCAGCCTTTGTAACTATAGTGAGACTTTAGAACTTATATCTCAAGGTGTGTGGCGCATTTCCGTTGTAGATGTCTATGGGCTCCAGTAACCACTTAACACCAGGTAGGCTGTGAGCTCGTCCACACATCAAAGCAATAAATAAAAAAATTCGAAGTATATGTTTTAACTAGCTTTCGTGCATATCTCATTGAGTGTGTGGCGGTAGCCATCACAGAACACAAGATATTTGACAGATGCCTGAATCTCGCTTACGACATTTCCAAGAAAAGCTTGCATATATACCAATTCCGAACAACCCACCGTCGGTAAACCTCCCACAAGTGGTATTTTGAATTTCAGTTTAAACTATCTAATCAATCAGAAATATTTTGTTTTATGTCGATCCCGGCTAGGTTTTCATAAAGTGAATATTTTACTGTCCTTTTCTATTCGAATAAATTAAGTATTTATCGCCATTCATTATATTTACATGTTTAATCCTCTATGCCTACTGACCAAGAAAAATCACCCTGTATATACAAACTTCACGAAGCAGCTGTGCGTTAGTGTGGGCGCGTGACAATGACAAATGAAGTTCGTACCTAGTGAGGTGTTTGCTGTCCTCGTGCACCGCCATCTCGGAGCTCTTAAACTCGTTGAGTTCGCGGCGGATCGCGGCCTTGTCCCGCGGCGTGAGGCGAGTCCATGGCTTGTCGGCGCGACGGTCGTAGTCGTGGGCCTGTATGCAAAAGTATACATAATTTTTAAACACCAATAACTTGTGTTTCGCATTAATATCGGTTTAAAATTCGAAGATATTAAATAAATTAAATTAAATTAATTTGGAACAAATCACGCACAGTCATCCGGCCCCAATTTAAGATTCCCTGTGTTATGACTGATATAAACACGTACATGCGTTTTTAAATAGATACATATATATATTATAAACACCCAGACAAACAGCAAATAAACTTTTTCAACACACGAATGTTTGCCCGATGTGGGAATCGGACCAATGAACCTTGACGCAGCAGTCTAGGGCACTAGCTATTTGCACCACCGTGTTAGTCATAATCAGTAAGATATAACGTGAGGCAGCGGCTTGGCTCTACCCCTGGCATTGCTGAAGTCCATGGGCGACGGTAACCACTCACCATCAGGTGGGCCGTATGCTCGTCTGCCTACAAGGCCAATAAAAAAAATATATACATATATATAAGTACGCGAAATGCACTTACTTGAGTAACCTCGATGTAGTCGCTAAAGCGGATAATTTTCTTCTCTTTGAGCTCATCTACAGTGGGTCGGAAACTGAGTTTGCGCAATAAGTACCGCTTCTTTTCTTCTTTTTGCTTCTTCTCTTCGGCAGGTGATTGGCCTGAAAAAATGTATATTAAAAGTTAGCGATGCTTATTTTATTGATTTTATTTACATAATAGCGACCCGCCCTCGCTTGGCTTCTGAAACATTGTTGATAACTGAGTCCGCGATGTTACCCGGCTGGGCGAAGCTAGTCTAAAAGAAAGTAGCCTAAGCTACTCCTTATATCATCAGCTACCTATCAGTGAAAGTCTCGTCAAAATTGGTGGAGCCGTTCCAGAGATTGGCCGGAACAAACAGACAGACAAACAAAAATTGTAAAAAATGTTATTTTGGTGTATATACCGTATATAATATTTTCATATGCATGTAGTAAAAAGCGATTATTTCAATATTACAAACATACACTCTAAGTTTATTTATATGTATAGATAAATAATTCGAAGAAAAAAAAACCTTTACTTTTTAAGATGTTTCTTTCGACGAGTTCTTCGGCTGTGGGCCGCATGGACAGACGGCGGATGAGCCGCGCCCCGATGGCCTCCCAGGACTCTTGACGCTCGTGCTCGCTCTGCACCACCAGGATATTCCTGCACACGACGATTCACATCAATCCCGTGCACATTCTCACTACACACTACATTTATATTTGCTACATACTGACGTAACTTTCTCCCGGGGGGGATACGCAGCACAACAATAAAATTTATTTTCTACAGTTGCGAGTGTGCATTGCCAAACGGCCACAATATAAAATTTGCCGAAGCTCACGAGATCCTGAAAGCGTTTTCATGATATCGGATTAACACACCGCTCTTGGCTGGATCCCAAGCCCCTAATCTGATGTTTAACAACTTTAAATTTTAATCCGGTCAATTGTATAGAAAGCAAACGCGACAACATCCGAGATAAAATCGTGTGGGACTTCAACGATGTCGCAAAATGGACTGAGGTGTACTCTGAAAATAAACAGAGAAACTCCCAATGTCGATTGGTTAAACTGTAACAATGCCAGTGCCAAGAGCGAGATCTCATAAACAGGAAGAAATAAAACATTGATAACAATGAGTCCGTCCATCTGACTGTACTGACGAAAATAACACTCCCAGGCGTGCACCGTAGGCCTGGCGGCTGCGATGCATATACACCGCCTCCCGACGCGAGATCTAGTCTCGTATAAACGCTATCGCTAGTACACGCGTTACTGACGACGCAATAAAAACCGAACGATACAATCGACCCATTTCCAAAACGATATAAAAACTAGCTGCCTAATGAAATCTGTCACAAGACTAGAATATTGTAAGAATTTATTGTATGTATGCGTGTGTGTGCGTGTGTGTGTGCGTGTGTGTGTGCGTGTGCGTGTGTGTGTGCGTGTGTGTGTGTGTGTATGTGTATGTGTGTGGTTCTGGGTGTGTGTGTAATTTTAATCCCGCACCCGGTTCCTGAAATATGCGCGCGTCGTCGGCTGTCATCCGTGAAGATTGTACGATAATGAACGGCACAATGACTGACAACCCTCATTAGCCACGCAACGGAGAGTCGGTCGCGACATTGACAATGTATTCTTATGATGTAATAACGAGTTTTTTTTTTAGTTTGGCGGAAACAAACTTCACCGCATACTATGGTTTTTCTACGTATTTAAATACAGAGTATGATAATTTCAAAAGTAGAAATGGAATAAGGAATCAGTGTAGGAGCATACCATTGACGGAAATAAATATTCATTTGTGTGGCTATCCCTGCCTAATCTGTCGTTTATCAATTTTATATTTAGTGAATGCGTAATGTAAATCAAACAAAACCCAGGTGTCAACAGCCACACAAGACAGCTGATTGACGCACTCCGCGCTTCGATTTTGTTTTCCTTATTTTTTATTTATTCGACATCATCATCGTAGTCTCAAGGATAAAACGTTGGCTGTCCTCGTTTCAAATAATGCTACTATGTCTATGTTCAAATCCCGCAAGCAGGTAAAAATGTTCCTAAAGAAGCCCGTAATTAACTTATCATCACGAACGACTTCCGCGACGAAATAATAACATTGTCGAAAACATCAAGTAATACTAAACTACATTGTGTAGTACATGCGTAGTGATAATACACACAGTGATAACACTCAAAAATCATTATGTATAAATTTTGCTTACTGTTCTTTGAATATCGCTAACTACCTTTGCTACTATTATTGGGGGCTTCCACATGATAACATATATATTCCTAGTTGAAGATGTGAATATTAATTAAATTGGCATTTACGGTAGGATAAATTTTGCAAGTAAAAATTGCTGTGTCAGTTAATCATTCACTCATTTAGTTGGCGGTAGTTCTTTTGACGTTCAACAAGTATGTACTTTCATTTATGTTGAATAATTTTTTTTTGATTTGATTTGAAACGGTCGTCTGGTGTACTGGTAAGTGACATGGTCACTACACAAGGAGATCGCGGGTTCGAATCTCGCCAAGGGGAGATATTTGTATGAAAAATATAAAATGTCTTTTCCAGGGTTTTGGATGTCCCCCGTAGGGACTATCAGGTGGCGGGTGCGGGGGCGCCCGGTACTCGACTGTCGGTCCGGTGGTGGGGCGGTGCAAGGTGGCTTCTATGCGCCGCCCACGGTGTATCTCCCGAAATGACGTCCTTCGGGATTTTCCCGGAGATGAAATCCCGTCTTATCATCAGGACGGGTACCGGCGAAGGCGGACTTTCGGCGCGCACTGCGGTACCGTAGGTCTGGTGTACCCGGTGTGGTGGAGCTCGATGGGGTTTAGTCGGTAGTCGTTCTGCGGGGCAAGTGCTTCGCGCGCCTTTTTCAAGGCGTAGTCTCTTGCGAGGAATTCGGGGAGGTGGAGGACTTTGGCCCTCCTCGTCCCCCTCTTCCTCTCTGGAGGCGCCGGAGTCCGACATAACTCGGTTCGTTACCCCCGGACCGGGTATCCGTAAATGAATTCCCCAGCGTTAAAAAAAAAGAAAAAAAAAAGGGTTTTGGATGTATATTAAATATATGTATGTGTATAATAAAAATCTTACATTTATTTCCGTTATCTGGTACCTGTAACACAAGTTCTTTAAGAACTTACCACGGGACCAGTTAACGTGGCGTGATTGTTAGTAAATATTTATTTATTTATTTGATTTGATTTGATTTGAATTACCTATTTATAAGTTCTTGTCTGTCGGGTCGCAGAGCCAATTTGATGTTTAAGCTCTCCTTTCTTGCTAGTTTGGCCGCGACTCGTTCCGACTCGCTCGTGTAGTCGTCTCTGTACTCGCCGTCCCAGGGCCTGGCGTTCTCCTTGTTCTCCATGGCGTTGCCCACGCGAATCGGTCGACTGCTGCATAAAATTAAACATTTTCTAAAACTAAACTATTAACAGTAAGCCGCGTTATATTTCGGACATGCTCGTTTCTCGTATTCTCGTCGAAGCGATAACAGAAAAAAAGCGGTAAATCCTTTTTTGCATTATTTTTCCAATACTTTCTATGTTTGGTCATATCTTTAATGTTTCTGTAAACTGTCGACTCTAATGTACTATTTGACGGTATATGATTACATTTATTAATGTAGTTACATTAATAAGTCTTAATGTTTAAAAAGTCTTAATATTTAAGTGCACTTAAATATTAAGACTTTTTAATATCTGATTTGCGTTATTTGCTGTCACAAAAATAAGGAATGCGTGTAATTCGCGGTATATTAGAAGGAAGATCATTATTTGTGAAAACACATTGTTGGCTCTTAAAAATCAGATTTAGGTCAAACGTTGATTTGTTTTAATTGACTTCAATACGGGCTTCTTTCTCTATTCCGACAATTTGTTTTGTATTCTGGCAAGTGATTATTACATGTTTCGTTATCTGCATTAAGAATTTTTGAGCTTTCAATAATTCATTAATTGTTCTAAGCTAAGTAGCGAAAGTTGCGCTATGATTTATCTCCTGTGATATTAGAATAGACATGAGACAAGAATAAAAAAAACCCTCGAAGATCCATCATTTTTAACAAATAAAGTCCCAAACAAATTTAATCTATTCTCTATTTTGTTTGATATAAGTAGTAACAATAGTGAAGTCTGTGAAGAGCGGTCGTTATTTGGGAGAATAATTGGTTTCCGTAACCAATTAAAACAAATAAATTAAAAATTAATAATAAAAATCATAAATTCTGACTACACAGTACTTTATGTTACTATGTCTCTATTTACTTCTAATTTAGTTTTTGACGGTTAAAAAGTAATAAGTAATAAGTAGTGCACAAGAAATTTGTATGTCATTCCGTGAAAGTCGTATTTGGATATTTTCGTTCCAAAAGTATTGTTTTGTACGTACGTATGTATTTCAACAGCTATTTTTCCAGAATCTAATTTAATCGTGTTTAAGTTTAAGGTTTGTAAACAATAATTAAAGAAGCTTTAAATTAACTATAAACATTTATGCTAAGCTATTCAAACAACTAAACATTTAAATTGATTAAAATAAATGCAATTAAATTATGTTAGAAATGAAACATAATAATTTTAACACACATAATAATAATGTACATGCAACACAGAACGACATTTAGTATAACAACATGAATGAAGTTAGTTTTCTATGAAATGCGTAGATTTTATCGATAGTGTAATTAATTGGTCAATCTAATTCATTTGGATCTGGACGAGATTATCGATAGGAACAATTATACAATGAACTTCAAAATTGACAGTCTTGTTCTATTAAATGAGCCAACAATCTTAGGTACTAGGCAGAGGCTTGGTTGTGCCCCTGACCTTGCTGATGTCCATGAGCGACATTAACCACTTACAATTAAATGAGTCGTATATTCAGTCTGTCTACAGCGACAATAAACGTATCAAAGTTTTTTTTATTGCTTAGATGGGTGGACGAGCTCACAGCCCACCTGGTGTTAAGTGGTTACTAGAGCTCATAGGCATCTACGACGTAAATGCGCCACCCACCTTGAGATATAAGCTCTAAGGTCTCAGTATAGGTACAACGGCTGCCCCACCCTTCAAACCGAAACGCATTATTGCTTCACGGCAGAAATAGGCAGGGTGGTGGTACCCACCCGTGCGGACTCACAAGAGGTCCTACCACCAGTTGTCGGTTTGGGCTCTTTTTTTCACCATTTGTTTTGGTCGTAAAAGGAGATGAATAAATAGAAGAGGGAAATATGAGTGGGAAGCGTGCAGAGCACGATGCATAGAGTAAGGCGAAGCGGACCGTCGGCAGGTCTGTCGGCGGCGCGAACAACACTGGCGCGTACAGAGAGAGCGTGCGACTATTACCATATGCGGATCCTGGGCTTAGGCGGCGGCCGTCTGCTCGCCGACGCATGGTGGAAATAATAACACGATTACACTAACTCCACAACTACCCTTGTACGATTGTAACATCAATGCCAATATTGAAAACTAATCAATTATATTATTATTACATTCCATATTTAACTATAGATTTTTCAGTACACCCAAAATCACAGATTATTTTACTATTTTAATGAATATTATAATACTTTTTTTATATATGAGTGTAATTATTAGGAACGACTATTCAAAGCGAGACAACATTAATTTTTTCGATATTATAATATGTAGATAATTATGTTTTATAATTTCATAGCGTAGTAAGTGAATGAGTCATTATGATTTGTGATAGATTAGTGAAAACGAATCGTAATGGTTACTGTATACGTAATATAATCGAGTGGCAAATGTGCGAGTACTGACTTGAAGCTGGCGTGATGGTGGTCTTGACGCGCGGCGAGCGGCGTGGCGGCGGGCGAGGCGGAGGGCGCGGGCCGCTTCTTGAGGGCGGATTTGAGCGGCATCGCATTGTACAGCGGCTCCTTCGGCGGAATCTCCTCGATCCTCGACGTGTCACCAGCAAGCGCCAGTGGTTCGACGTCTTCCTCCTCTGGATCATCCTCCTCTTCGGCTGTAAATTTAAGGAACGTTAAAAACAATCGAACGTTAAATAAAATACAGCCCACAGCGGTAACCCGATCCCGTGGACCGAATGGTAAATAGTCGACGTCGCCCTAAACACGTCGCTACGGATTCTCCCGATCCATTAACCGTGCTTTTAGGTATCTCATGCACGGGTCACCGTCCTCGCCGAACCCGTCGCTTGCGACGAAGGGCTCGACGAGTAAATTAATAAATAGACACAGCCCACTGAGTTTCTCGCCGGATCTTTTCAGTAGGTCGCGTTTCCGATCCGGTGGTAGATTCTACGAAGCACTGCTCTTGCTCGGGTCAGTGTTAGCAACACTCTCGGTTTGAGCCCCGTGAGCACATCTACACTTTAAGGCGAAGCTAAAATTGCCTCTCAAGGCTATCAGCATAGGTAGGGAAACAAAAAAATAGCTCACAGCCCACCTGGTGTTAAGTGGTTACCGGAGCTCATAGTCATTTACAACGTAAATGCCGCCACCCACCTTGGGATAAAAGTTCTAAGGTCTCAGTATAGTTACAACGGTTGCCCCGCCCTTCAAACCGAAACGCATTACTGCTTCACAGCCGAAATAGACGGGGTGGTGGTACCTACCCGTGCGGACTCCCAAGACGTCATACCACCAGTAAAGAAACATAATAAGAACACCACAGGAAAAGCTTAGTTAAAAAAATCGTAGTCGCTGTTGATAATGAATGCGACACCCGGTATATTAATAGTACTGTGTAATAGTAATTAATATGTAGTGATTATGCACTAATTCTAGGGCATATTATAAGCCGAGTACCACAACTCTGCCTGTTTCAACCGCAACGTAGTCATCCGTGTCAGTTACGTTAGGCAATTTATTAATCGCCCAGTCGTCAATGCAATGAACAAACAAACACTGACGGTACAATGAACATGTTATTTTGTTAAGCCAGTTGTTTCCATTATACAAATAAAAAAATGAAAGCTTTATTATACGGTGGTAGGACCTCTTGTGAGTCCGCGCGGATAGGTACCACCACCCTGCGTATTTCTGCCGTGAAGCAGTAATGCGTTTCGGTTTGAAGGGCGGGCAGCCGTTGCAACTATACTTGAGACCTTAGAACTTATTCTCAAGGTAGGTGGCGCATTTACGTTGTAGATATCTATGGGCTCCAGTAACCACTTAACACCAAGTAGGCTGTGAGCTCGTCCACCCATCTAAGCAATAAAAAAAATACAACACGTTATGAGTCCATATAGGTCAGTATAGTCTTTTCTGTGTCTACAGCGAAGAAATCACTCATAGCCATTTGCGGGCCAAAATAGACGTTAGTCCAACGCAATTGAATCCCCAACCTTATGTTCGTAGGAGTTGCAATGGCATTGTGAGCGCTGTTAATCCCATAAAACAGAGCGGATCGCAAATTCGTCTATTCATGCGCCAATGAACGTCACGTAACAAATTTACGTGTTGACACTAGATTTTACGGTTCGATATTTTCGTAAAAGAATTCGGAATACTCTTAGATCGATACATTACTACTAATAGTTGTGCGCTCTCGCTACGCGTTGAACTCACGCCAAGATCTTACAAATTGTTTTTATGTTACTAATCATATCAACGAGCACGTGTCGCGACCACATATTTCCGTTTTTATGTTGTCAAATAGTTTTGATGTTACTATTGCGGTAAGCTTCCTTTATTTTTATATTGAAATTAACAGGTTATACACGTCGTGACCGAAAAGATTGGAAGCGGTTTGTAGTAGTATCAAGATATGCCAGCACCACTCTATTTCTGCACCAAAATACGAATATATTAATGCAAATACTCACAGTCGGAGTGAGGATGTTGAGGCATCGTGTGTTGGTGGTGATGTCGCGTGGGACTTGGTGAACTGAACATAGGCGGTGGGGGAATGGGACCAATTTCCGATAAAGCGATGGGTGGTTCAGGCAGTTCCGACAGAACTAAGGGTTCTTCTCCATCCCCACCCTCCCCTCTCGTATTGTAGCCACCTACTGCAGACGAAACGAATTATGTCTTTAAAATCTATGAATTATCACCATTTATTGAATAGTTCAAATAGAATCTCTCTTAAGTTTGAATTTTAAAACAGTCGGTAACTAAAAATAAAGAAAGCCCGGAGTAAATTTTTTACTTTGTTATTTATTATTGGTGAGGTCAGAAGATCCGGTAAATAAGTCTTTTTGATTCTAAAAATAACATTTACAAACAAAACATCTGGCTGCACAAATTATTTTTAAATTTTAATTAGACCTAACGCAATACTCACCTACGTCGCCTTGGTAACATATCCGTCGAGGATGTTTACCGGCAGTCAATGAGTTTGGCCTTTCAGGCCTGGTCGTTTCACCACCATTTTCCAATTTATCTTTCTTTGGTTCTGAAAGAAATACAGTGTACCAATTAATAATGATTTTTCATGCTATTGAAATAAAGCTTAATATACAAAAAACAAAAACTGATAATTTTATCAGAAAGGCAGGAGGAATCTACGACATGACCAATTGGTATATTTTGTCTTCTTCCTCAAAGATATTTGTGAAACAAACGGTGTTATAGAAGCTCTGGCTTTATTGTTTCCTTTGAAATTTGTTTAAAGTATTGTGTTACGACCTAGTCAATCGTAAAATCGACTATTTCATTTTAGAACGAAAGCAACGGAATCACCTTGATGTACTAATAAATTTTACTGATGACAGACACCAAAAAGTGTGGTGTATAACATAAAATGTAATATTATCGTGTACCGGAAAGCGGTAAATTGAAGTTATTACTGGCGTCATAGTGTGCATGCAGCGTCTATGCGGAGCATCTGTATGAGTTTACTATGTCGATGCTCCTAATAATAGAAGTTAGATGAGTGAAGGCACGCGCTTCCATTCACCACTGCGGACTAAGCGTCGGCGGCGGCCTTGGCCCCGCCATGGAACTCTATTAATGCTTCACTACAAGACCTAGTAGATACGCAATTTTATCATGAGTTCGTCACAATCGAAAAATATAAATTTTATTGCCATTTATAAATTAATCAAAAATCAAGTTTTTTTTTTACAATACTCGTAATATGTAATACATTTTAAAAGTTTATTTTTTCTTTACATCTTTTAATGATAATTATGTTGTTATATTTGCTGCAATCAATCTTGAGAATAAAAAACAATTCTCGAAAGAGTTTCTTTGATACTTTCAGTTTTAGTATGTTTGTTATTGAATGGCAAAAGTTGGGATGAAGCAATAGGTAAATAGCGCAACTGGTAACGCTGGCTTCGCAACCAACTCGCATGTGACCTACTGCTAAATGTTACTCAAAATGTTTCAATGATACTGTGAAATAAACACAATTATACATTTTTACACGCTGTATTTGTAATTAATGTTACTGATTATTATAAAAATTGTCATATCTTCTGGGTTTTTTTTTTTATAAAATGAAACTGTATTCTATTCATATATCATATTCTTTTGGGTTAATATAATTTGGAAGAAAATATAGAACTACTATATATTATATTTAAAGAACTATGTTACTGCCGTTCACTCAACAAAAAAGGCAGATGCGCGATCGGTACAGGCACAGCATCGTTCCGATCGATGCAGCCGCCCTTGGCCGAGCCGCCCCTCACCCACCCAAGGACATTGGGGGTTGCAACATTACGCAACTTTCGCAACACGTGTTTTCAATTCATACCTACTTATGATATTGAACATTACTGATAAACTCTAATAGAAGAAAAAACCTTTTTTTTGTATGTGAAATCTATCTGTATATATTAATACGTGAAGCAAAAATTTGTACCTCTTTTTACGAAAATTGCGCGAACGGAGGAGTATGAAATTTCCCACACTTAAAGCGAATATAGAGAAGGAGTGCACAATGCTAATATTTTTTTTAAATAATGCATAAAAAATACTTCAAATCAATAAAGAATACATTACACACACACACATGCATGACTTATTGCATAAAGTCTTGAGAATAGATTAAATATTGTTTGCCTTTGTTAATATTTGTCTAAAGTGTAGTCTTGGCGAAATCTGTGATTACAGAAGTATATAATAGTCTTTGACAATAGAACCGTAATAATGTTCAAACTTATACTTTCAATTAATGATTGTCGAATTTCGACTACTGCGGGACCACTAGTAAACATTAATAGCTCAATGTCAAGAATACGTATTTCACGCGAAGAAAGAATTGCTCGTCATACCGCGTAACAAACACGTCGACGAAGATGCGCTCATTATAAATATACACATTTCGTACGTGAAAAACGAGAGCACGCTTACGCATCTGATAAACTATACCGGGGACCGTTTACATTGCGAATTTAACAAAATAAATTAAATTCAAATTAAACAAATACATTCTTTTCTAAAAGTTCACTAGAATTAAGAGTTCCTCCCACGCCTACCTAAATTAAAATACCGATCTAATCTAATACCCATTTTTTAGCCAAAGTTTTTATTTGAAATTTGTTTTTGCTATGTGTAAGAAAAGTTATCGAAAAGCAAGTAAAAAATGTGGAATTACGAAAACCCAATTTTATTTATATATTTCATTTATCTTAAATATAATTATAAAAATAAATAAGTAGGTCGCAGTCGGTTTATTTGCTGGCTGATGAAGAATGTGTAGACGTTAAGAGAACACTATTTGACGAAAAACACGTGGGACGGCCGTCTCATTTACTGTTTTCCGTAAGGAATTATTAGTTTAATTCATAAAATCAATTTAAGTTTTATCTCGATTCAACTATACTAATTTCAATAATGATTTTTTGAAGAACAAAATATTATTCGACATTGTGGCAATTGACTATGCTTATTTATCTGATCTATCTAAATTGACTTTTTATCTCAATTATATCTGGCATTACAAAAAATGATTTATGGTTCAGCAGAAAACACATTCTTGCCTATTTCTGTTCGATAAGTGTATTGCGGTCAGGTTTGAATAATATAAGCGTACTGTTTGTTATTCTTATGTCTCAATCTCACAAACTGTATACGGTTACGATGTCCGAATCGATGCAAAGATTGACGGAGTGTGGTCGTCTGTACATATAAGCTAATAGTAAATAATAATCTTTATGTAACGTACCACTAATTCATCTATAAATATATTGTACGTGATAATATTTGGCATACAGTAAGGGTTTTCAGTAAATTGGCCATAATATTTAATGTATTGCGATGTTTACTGGAAACGAGAACCGCCTACAACGAAACAAACATCGTTATAGGGTCGCTTGTTGGATGTCAATGCAGCAGCTAGGAGCGGAGCCCCTCACCCGGTCAAGGGCGTTCCGAGGCCATCATTTTATTCCATTGCAGGAAAATCGTTTTCCCTCGCGCCCGTGCAAAGTATTTTAATATGCTTCGTTATTTATCTTTATGTAGATTTTTATTTAGAGCACATATTTTTAACAGTTTAAATTAGCATATTAAAAAAAATTAGAAAAATTCAGTTTTTTTTTTGTTACAGGAAACCTTATTTCATTGTTACAGGAAGCTTATGACAACGAATGGCGGCGATATGTATAATATTTTTTTTTCGTGTTTTCTGTGCACGTTGTGACTTAACGGAATGCGGTGATTGACATTCAGGAGGGCAATTAAAAGTACGTTCGTTTGCTTGTACCGACCGGCGGACTCGAGGCATGCCGCAAATAGTTTCACAAGGCCATGCGACGGTTGCCTTTATTTATCGACAACTGCGCCGGCGCCACACTTCGATACATTACCATACAAATAAGCATCGTTATTTTTTTTTTTTCACTCAGAGTTCTAAGGATAAGAAGCTACACTTTGATGAAACTAGAAGTAACGTTAGTATGTAGTACTTACTACACAAAACCATCTTTTTAATGATTAATAAAACAAACAAAAGGAACAAACTAAAACGGACAATACTGTGAATAACACTTTTTGACTGTGTTCTTACAACGAACATATGGAGGTCCGATAATTAATTATGAATGTTGTTACAATAACATGAGTTACAATAAAAATAAGAACACATACCTACATCAAAGATTAGGAAGTTCCCTTATACATAACTAAATATGGACATAAATTCGTATGAATTTAATGTTCTATTTACGTAAGAACAAAGTTGGAATTGTTGGGTTGAAATTATGAAAAGCGGGCGCCGTGTTGGCGGTTTATCCTTAACTTCACCTCAGGGTGCTCTGACAATGAATATTTTGTTGTTTCAAACGAACTTAAACCCCTAATATTAAATTATAATTTACGTGGACACTTTTATGACTTTTTCATTTTAAAAGAGAATTTTATGAAACAGTGATGTTTTAACCTTATCTTATTGTTTTATATGTATATGTCAATTGAAATAAAGTTTTATGGTATAAAATTTAGGTAGTTACCGTTTCAAGACAATTGTCGCATGAATAATGAGGTCCTCGCAAAATATTTCGATGCATACGATGAAAGGGTAATTGAATGATATTTTATGTCTAAAAGCATAATTCATAAAATAGCCAATTTCTATTTTAAAATCTAGGGCATTTAACAGCATTTAAAATATTAATTGTATTTAAAAAAAAGAAACACCTTTCCGTACAGGACAAATAACTTAGCTTGCTGTGTCTACACTATAGCATTTATTTTTGTTGAAAGTCGAGAATTTGATCTTTAATAACACTGCTAGAGGTAGAATAGTAGTTATAATATCGGCCAATGAACCTCGAACAATTCCAAGGTTTTATTGAAAACCAAATCAAACAATACTTATATTAGTTTTTCAGTTAATTAGTCTAATATCGAAAGAAGAAGAATGTAATAGTTACTTTAAGTATTGCATTTGGCATTATTTGGGTTTAGTAATCGCAACTGTAACTTGGCACATGGATAATAATTATTTTAGTGAGATGAGTGGTGCAATGAAGTTTGTTGCTGGTACCGTTGGGCCGTGTGAAGAGTGAAAGGTTTGCGGCTTGTCTTGGAACAGGTGACTTGCGGCGCACATAGTAGTGGTCATGGCGATGTGGAGGCGGCGGCGGCACGAAGGGCGGCGGCGGCGGAAGGCGCGCGGGCCTTCGCCTCGCGCCGCCCGCGAAGGCGTCCATGGCGGCGAGCGTGCCAACGTCGCTCATGCTCGCGGCGCGCTCGCGGCTGGAAGACTGCGGCCGCTTGTACGATCGTTACTTCGCCCCCCAAGCCCCTGCACCCCGCGCGTTCTTCGATCGCCGCCCGCCCTCAGTCCGCCCACATGCCGGTTCGCTTTGTTTTCAATATTTAATTTTACTCATTCATTTGCTTTTTTTGTAATAACCAAAAAACTTAAAACCTCTTTCTTAATTATTGATAGTATTATATTTTTACTTCAGTTACAAAATATATTGTTTTACAGTGCCTTTG